AGTAGGAGTATGCCAATGAGACAGTGGTTGGATAAGTTCTCAGTGTGTGAACTGGAAAGAACACGAAGTGTCAAGTTGTGGACAAACAGAAGGATAAAAAGCCTTGTGGCAGAATGAACCAAGAAGCCAGTTAGAAAATTACTATAAAGGTCTACCTCAAAATAAGAGTGAACGCATTAATAATACTAGAAGTAAGTGTTTTGCTGTAATCTCAGCACTCTGAAGCCTTAGGCTCAAGCCAGTTTGGGCTAGAGTGAAGACCGTGTCTCAAAACAGACAACAGAAATGTTTTGGAACTAGTTAAAGGTGAAAGTCATACAACACTGTGGAGATATCAGTGTCACACTGGGTGCTCTAAAATAAAGAGGAAAGGAACAAGATACAAATGCAGAAGATGCAGCCAGGTGGTGTTGGCGCCTTTAATCCCAGCACTCTGGAGGCAGAGGCAGGCGGGTCTCTGTGAGTTCAAGGCCAGCCTGGTCTACAGAGCAAGTTCCAGGACAGCCAGGACTGTTAGACAGAGAAACCCTGTCTCAGAAAAATAACAACAACAACAACAACAAAGAACAGAAGTAACAACTGGGGGAAAATACCATATACTACAAAGGGTTAATTCCCTCTCCTCCCTCCCCCCTTTCCTTTCTGTGCTTTGGGCATACTAAACAAGCACTCTGTCAATGAGCTAAGGAATTTCCCTCGGGGCTGGGGGTTGAAACCAGGATGCACACAGCCTGGGCAAGTGCTTTCTCAGAGCCATACTCCAGCCTTTATTAGTGTACTCAATTTGTTTTTCATTTGTTTTCGTGTAGTTTATTTACTTACTTATTTGATACAGGATCTCCCTATGTAGCACTAGTTGGCCTTGAACTCACAGAGATTTGCCTGCCTTCCTAGAAATCAAAGGTGTGCACCACCACACCCGGCATTGATTTGTTTTGTAGACAGGGTCTCACTGTGTTGTTTTTCTGGCTGTCCTGGAACTTGAAACATAGATTAGCCTAGCCCCAAACTGGAGGCAATTCTCCTGCCTTTGACTCCCAAGTATGGGGATTACAGGTGTATGTCATCATGCCCAGATTATTAGTGTATGTTTTTGTAATATAATGGATTTCATTATGTCATTCATGCACACATATGATGTGTTTTGACCATATTCACTGCCTTATTACCTTCTCTTCCCCCTTTTACCCCATGGGCCCCTTCTTTTTGCCTATCAGTCCTTTTCCTATGCTACCTTTCTACACGTGTGAGAAAACACACAGTGCTCACCTGAGACTGGATTAGTTTACATGGCATGATTTTAGTGTATTCTTTAAAATCTGTACTATATGTGAGGCTGTGTGTACATGTGTCATGGCTCATGTATGGAGGGCAGAGGACAATTTGCCTTGTGTGTTCTGGGTATTGCACTTGGGTCTTTAAGGTTGGTAATAAGCACCTTTGACTACTGCACCATTTCTCCAGTCCTATTTTGCTATGCCCTAAGTCGTCTGTGGATGGATGTAGCTCAGTGAAAGAATACGTGCCTAGAATGCTCACGGTCCTGTGTTTGATAGCTAGCTTTGCCCCACTTACCTAACCCCCTAAAAGAAATAAAAGAACATCTGCTCAGTAAGTTGGGTTTATCTTCACTCATAATCAAAGAAATATAAATTGAGATAGGTAATACTAGGGGCAGGAGAGGTGGCTCATAGGTGAAGAACAATGACTGCTCTTTCAGAAGACCCAGGTTTGATTCTCAGAATCTACCTGCAACTCCAGTCCCAAGGTATCTGACACCCTCACCATGAGTACTGCACGTATGTGATGCAAAGATATATGCATGCCGGGGCTGGAGAGATGGCTCAGAGGTTAAGAGCACCCACTGCTCTTCCATAGGTCCTGAGTTCAATTCCCAGCAACCACAAGGTGGCTCACAACCGTCCCTTATGAGATCTGGTACCCTCCTCTGGTGTGCACATATACATGGAAGCAGAATGTTGTATACATAATAAATAAATAAAATCTTTAAAAAAAAAAGATATGCATGTCAACCAAACACTCATGCACATTAAAAGAAAAGACTGGGCATGGTGGATGGTGGCGTACACCTTTAATCCCAGCACTCAGGAAGCAGGTAGATCTGAGAGTTCAAGGCCAGCTTGGTCTACATAGTGAGTTCCAGGACAGCCAGGGCTATGTCATAAAACCCTGTCTCAAACAAAACAAAACAACAAAACCCCACCAAAAATGAGACAGGTAATATATGTATTTCATTTGCTCTGACAGAATTAGAAATATGTTCGCCCTCCCCTCTCTGACCCAGAAACTTTTTTTAAATGTGTGTGTGTGTGTGTGTGTGTGTGTGTGTGTGTGTGTGTGTGTATCAAGGTTATTATGTGCATATGAACACAAGTGCCATGGAGGCCAGAAGAGAGAATTAGATCCCTGGGAGCTAGAGTTCTAGTCTATTGTGAGCAGCCTGACATGGGTGCTGGGACACAAACTTGGGTCCTCTGCAAGAGCAGTCCATGCTCTTTAACTGCTGAGCCATTTCTCCAGCCTGGAGCCCTCCTTTCAGGGCTCTGTCCTACACATCCAAAAAGACAGACCTCTAGGGGTAACTATTACAACTGTTTGAACTGAAAAAAAAAAGTGGACATTCAGAATGTCCATTAGGAAACCAGTAAACATAACTGACAGCTAGAAACTAACAGAGCTGTTCCTTAAAAGGATGGAGTGGATGTGAGCAGCGCTTCAGAAGCCTCTTCTGGGTAATACCAACAAGTGAAAGCAGCAAGATGTAGATGAGCTCATGGTTTGCTGCCCCCTGTATTTGAGATGAAGCAGTGAGTACATAAAGCCTGTGTATGTGTGACTCAATACAAAGAACAGTCTTTGAATAAACAAGGACGGTGGTGGTTGGTAGGAAAGAGAAATCAGGGTCAGGGAACAGGCAGGAGGGAGCTTCCTTTTTCACTGTTTACCATTTTATACTATCCAGATTTTTTAAAACCATGGATTGCCTTCTAAACAGCACTGAAAACATAACTTTTTTTTTTTTTTTAAGGCATCATTCTTTAACCCATAGTCATGGGCTTTTCCTCTGTCTCTTCTGACTCAGAACCTGAGACTGAAGAGCCTAATTCTGGATTTTTATCTTGCCTCCCAGAGGACTCTTGATTCTCCCCATGAAGTTAGGTCCATGGCCTTAGAGGTCAAGGAGCAGGGTCACAGGAGTCAAGGACGCTAAAGGCAAAGACTTAAAAGGGGCTAGTTCCATTTGTGACAAATCCAGCATGGGTAGGGGAGATGACCTGTGATAGGATAAGCAAAGCCTGTGGATAAATGATTTAATTACAATTTCATGAGCTTCAACACAGACCAATGTCCATGTAAGTTGCTCCCATTTGCCTCAACAAAACCTACGTCACTTCTTGTTAGCTGCTCCTGCCCCTGGTCTGAGTTGATACACTACACCTTCCAGCCTTCACATGAGGCTTTGTCGTGGTCCCAAATGTTTATCCTTGTGCATGCCCTAACTCATTTTCAGTTCTCTGCTTGAAGTTTACTTCCTCTAGGGAAATCATCCCCCAAACCCAATCTACATCACACCGATACACCAATGCACTCTCAGTTCCCATTCTTGGGACCAGGGAGTGCTACCAGGGAATGGCTTACTTGGCACATAGTAGGGATATAGGTCAAGACTGTTTTATGGGATGGAGTCCTTAGAAAGGTTTCCTGGATAATTTTATGTCAACTTAACACAAGCTAGGGCCCTTGGAGAGGAGGCAGCCTTAACTGAGAAAATGCCTCCATTAGATCAGGCAAGCCTATGAGGGCTTTTTCTTAGTCATCAACTGGAGAGGTCCCAGCCCATAGTAGGTGGTGTCACCTCTGGGTAGGTGGTCCTAGGTTCTGTAAGAAAGCAGACTGAAGCATTGGTGGTGCCACGCCTTTAATCCCAGCACTTGGGAGGCAGAGGCAAGAGGATCTCTGTGAGTTCGAGGCCAGCCTGGTCTCCAGAGCGAGTGCCAGGATAGGCTCCAAAGATACACAGAGAAACTCTGTCTCGAAAAACCAAAAAAAAAAAAAAAAGAAAAAAAAGCAGACTGAGTATGCCATGGGGAGCAAACCAGTAAGCAGAACTCCTCAATGACCTCTGCATCAGCTCCAACCTCCAGGTTCCTACTCTTTGAATTCTTGTCCTGACTTTCTTCAATGACAGGCTATGGTGTGGAAGTGTGAGCCAAATGAATCCTTTCCTCCCCAACTTCCTTTGGTCATGGTATTTTATCACAGCAATAGTAGCAATAGGGCTACAGCAATAGTAGCCCTAACTAAGACCGAAAGGTCACCTGCAGGAGTCACAGTGGGTGATGTGGGAGGTGAGAAATGTCTGTAGAGTGCTGCTGCCTCCTTCCCACCCAGCCTTGGCCCACATTGTAACCCTTACTGATGTTGCTCGTATGACATCTGTCTGGTGAGGTATGCAGATGTGGTTACACAGTCCCAGAAGCAGACTGCTTCACAAACCGGAAGGAACAGTGGGGACAAACCTAACAAGGTCATAATGTGGCATGTGTTGCCAGACTTAGCAGAGAGGAGACTGCCCTGCCTAGCTCCCAGGGCCATGAGGCCTTCAGGAGGTTAGTATTTGCCCTGTAGATGGCTAAGCTTACTTTGTGGCTTTACCAAGCTCTACCCTGGAGTGTGCAGCAACCAATTCGAGTTTCAATATATACCTTGGGACACAGGCATAGCACAGTCATCCAGTAAACATTTATTGATAACACACAAAATACCTTATGTAGAAAATAATACCTGTGATGTGGAAAAAAAGCATCATGGGTGGGCACACTGTACACCCTTAAACTCTGCTGAGAAAACACGCACACTCATTCCTATTCAAAGGTTTATTTCTTCCCTATGCTCTGAAACAAAGAAATGGCCTTGCCCTCCCCACCCACCCACAGTTTCATCTTCAAGGAATGGGAGGCAGAAGTGGTGACTTGGGTGGCAGGTTGGTATGAGGCCAAGTGTGGGAGTTCTTTCTACTCCTTTTCTCTACAGTCGCTCCTCACTTTCAGTGTCCCCTTCCCAAAACTTTAGGTGTGCCCACAGCATGCCTCCCTAGGGAGCAGGGCTAGGGCAGCAGAGCTGAAGTCAAAAGATTAATGCCCACTTTCAACAAGTGATGGGTCCAGTGCGTATCTTGGGTGGATGGGGAAGGAGGAGAGGCTGGGACCCTCCCACCCGAAGTGACAGTGGGATCTTGGTCCTGCCCCTACCTCTCCCAGCCCCTTTTCCTAGCAGAATTGGTCGTCACAGTCGTCATCCTTCATCCCCTTCAGCCGAAGCCGGGCAAAGTCCTCAAACACAATGTCGTCATCTGTGGCGTAGCTTGGTGACAGAAAGAAGTAGATGAGGTGAAGGCTTCTGACCATTCCTTGGGCCTCCCACTCTGCTTCCCTCCCACCCCATCACACAGGAGACAAGGGGCTTAAGTGGCAGCCTCAACAGGCTGAGTCATCTGATTTGAGACTTCTCCCAATCTCTCCCACCAGAAGGAAACACCCACAAGGTAAGAGGGTGGATCTGAGTGACACGGGAGTCTCTGTCCTAGAGGATCACAGTAAGAAGGCAGGGAGGGTTCCTTACTTGGTATCGAATTCGATGAGGTTGGTATCCACAGGGACATCTGTTTCCTGGGGGACTGAAGGGCAGAGAGGGGGTGTGTGGGTGGGCACTAGAAGGAGCATCATTTCTCCTCTGGCCCTGCTTCAGTCCCTCTCTGTGGGGCTCAGGGGGTGGGGAGAGCTTACCTGACTGGGGTCTGGGAAGGGTGATATGGTCATGAGGCTTGGGGTGCATGAGAACGAACGGTAGCTCCACGGAGACATCCCTGGGGAGGGAGAAGGGCTGCATGAAGAGGACGGCTACCACAATCCCACGGAGCCACAGACAACCACGTGACCAGGCTTTCCCAGTGTACTCACCCGCCTCGAGACACCACCAGCTTCACCTTGACCCTGTAGGATACCAGGATTCCCAGAACCTCCTTGTTGGCTCCCTCTTTCACACTGCAATTGGGAGGAGGGGAGCTGGGTCAGGGATCCAGGGCTCCCACAGCATTAGCTGTGCAGTCATAGCAATGCGGGCTCATGGCATTCCTCTATGCAGAACCCTCCTGGGGCCTCATCTTTGCCAGGCACCAGGGTGCTTTGATCTGCAGCACTTGGTGTGCAGGTCCTCTCACCCACTTCTCTTTTTGTGGTCCCTTCTCACCATGTGGGCCTGTGTGGCGGTGTAGTGTGTACCCAGAGAAAAGGCACCACTGGGTGAGGCTCTGGCCTTCTGGGACCAGGGGTGCCCAAGGTCATACATAGTGACACATCACAATTCCTCATGCACCCTGGGGATCATCCCACCCGAGCCGCAAAGACTGCAGATCTATCTGCCTGGAGCCCTCTTGGCTTGCACACCCACAGGTCTCCTTCCTCTGGGCCCTTCAGTATTCACCCTTTCTGGCCAATCTATTTACAATCAACACAGCCTGACCCTTTCTGTACGTTATCCCTCCTGCTCTGCTTGCTTTTCCCACTTAACACTTGTTCCTAACATGCTATCTAGTTTACCACTTATCTGATTGTCTGTCTTCCCTCCCTTAGAATGTGAGAGGTTTTTGTCACTTCTGTTCACTGATACCTCCCTGGCACCCAGGACAGAGCCTGGCACACCGCCTGCACTGCACTGAACGGAAGCCTGTCCCCTGTCCCCCAGTCCACCAGCCCCGCCCTCACATGGTGCTAGAAGCCAGGTTGGTGTCTTCATGCTTGAGCTGCCCGTCCAGGGCAAGGCCACGCTTCTCCCGGTTGTCACTGAGCAGTGGGGTTATGGTGTACACCTTGCAGAACGTGGAACTGGGAGATACCTGGTCACTGGGGGTTGGGAACAAGGGAACAAGATTCTTGGAGAGACTGGACTGAGGGAGATTCATCATACCACCCTCAGGCGGTACTTCCTCCTTCTCTGTCCATCAGACGAGGGGGTAGGTTCTGATGCAATCTGCTAACAGCCTGGAGCCCCCAGGCTGCAGAGGGACACCCTTAGAAGTGAGATAGGTTATAAGGAACTCTGCATTCTCATATTCTCCCCTAAGTTGGGTCCCACGGTTGTCCCATACTCACTCTTGCTCAAGCTGAGCCACAGGACACTTGTACTGCGCGGTGCTGAAGAGGCAAATGTCGGCATACTGTCTCACTGTGGGGTAGGGGACCAAGTGGCTTTGGGTGAAGTATAGACTACTACTGTACCACAACTCCAGACCACATGGTGTGAACCCCACTTGGGGGCAGCACACCCCCACCTCCTACCCCTGGCCAACAGCCCTCCTATAATAAACACTAGGGCTGGGCATCATCTGGGAACAGACTAAATTCTTTATGCCCTGGTAGTTCTCCCACACTGGGATATGGCCTGGGCTGAAATGGCAGCAGAAGCCCCTTGTAATCAGGGACTTCCTTCCCCACACCCATGTCCACCCCCACCTCCTACCAGAGACTCTAATCTTCTTGACGGTCTTGGCCGAGTTGTTGGTGACATGGACGTTGACATTGAGTGGCTCCCCTAAGAAATACAGCTTTTGAAGGGAGGGGATGACACAGTTTGCACTTGCTTCAGTGGCTCCAACTTGGGTACCTCTCTGATAGAGGCTGCTCTGCCCCACCTCCAACCCCAGTCCATAGCACCTCCACCCAAGTGAGGCAACCACCTTTAAAAAAAAAATCCCAAACCACCATCCTGCCTGTCGCTTCACCCCTCCCCCAGGCTCTGGCCTGCTTTGTGGCATCTCTGTCACTCTTTTACACCTCTCCTCTTTGTCCAGGGAAGCCTCTAGGTGCAGGGACCTCCGGTCAGACATGAGGAAGTGGCGTGTGGTTTCTGCTGAGGGCTGGGGGCATGGGATCTCTGGAGCAAACTGTACCTTTCTGATGATAAGTCGCACCGAGTTCCTGAGTCAGGGGGTGGAGCAGGGGAAGGGTTAGTTCCAAGACACTACAATTCAACTAAGATTCCTACCCCCAACAGGCGCCAGGGGCTCCATAAGGCTGGGAGGGAGTTGTTAAACCAGAGACAAAGTTTCTCTCACCTTTTGTGGCTTTTTTCTTCTAGAGATTTGGGCTAGAAGGCACGAATCTCAAAGTCGACTCCACAGGCCTTGGAAGGGGGAGGAAAGGCCACCTCTTACCCAAGGCTCCTGTTGCCACTTCCAACACACCCCTTCCTTCCTACTTGCTTCATTCCCCTTAAGTGTGAACTTTTGCCCCATCTCGGAAACACGGACTCTCTTGCCCCACTGTCTCCTAGTCTGGCACCTTACAGAGGCTGGCTCATGGCAGTGCATGGAGGAACCCCCATACCCAGGTACATGTTCCAGATGCAGTGACCACACCATGCACACCCATGTCCATGGGGACACCTCCTTGTCTTCAGGACCCCCCTA